AGAGGGTGACAACAATACCAGAAAAATGTGATGCTAATGAGGATTAGGGGTACGATGAATATTAATCTTGCGTAATAGCTTTTAGAGGAGGCAAAACAGCTCATTGGAATGTGGAAGTAGCTGCATTTCCATTCAAATTTTTTCACGAATAAATACTTCAGATAAAGGAATAATCAAAATTTTTAGTCATCGTTCACCAAGAGTTAGCCTGCTCGGACAGTTATGTTCAATCGATTACGAAAGAAAACCCCGTAAAACAAACGTTTGCTTTCTCCTTCTACAAGATACTACGTTGGCAAATTTGCAAGTTTAGCAAGAACAGAGTCGACTTTCTATTGCTAAGAGAAACAGTGAAACTCCAAAGATTGCCAATTAATTCTCCGAAACTGCTTCTACACTGACTCGGACGCTGGAAAACAACAAGGTGAGAAGGTTAATCATTTTCATCCACATAGCATTCCATTTCCTTACTTCATAAAAAAGAAAACCCGTGAGTTCCTATGCAAACCCTTGTGAATGGCTTCTCTGTAACGCAACAACGCTCGCAGGCAAGTCACGTTTCTGTTTATTCCGTGTCAAAGCGTGTCGAACACAGTGGAGGAGAAACCTGGGCTTATGAGCCATAAAGTGTTCTAAACGTGTTCAACAAAATGTTTTTCTACATATGGTGCACGATCCTCGCAGTAGATAGCGCTATTTAAGCAATAGCGAAAATCAGACCTGAAAAAAATCAGGCCTGTACGGGATTCGAACCACTGACCTCTGCGATACTATTGCAGCGCTCTACCAATTGAGCTAACAAGCCAACTGGGAGCAGGCCGTTAAGTTGAAATGTTTTTCTAACAGAAATCCGTTTCTCTCTGCTTAACATAATTCTTGTTATTCTCCGATACTTTCTGCAATTGGGCGATACGGAAACTGCTCTAGTTTACGCCTCCGTTAAATCATTAAAATAAAATAAAATAAAAAAACAAAGAAAAGCATTGCAAGGAATACGGCCGATTTTGATGAAAATATAAAGAGAAGTTTTGAAGAGAGTTTTTTCCCAGTCCGGATACGCATGTGTGTATGTGGAGACTACGCCTTTCCCATGAAATTAACTGCTTATTAAATACGTACAGGGAAATTTGATAGGCTGTTTGCATAATAATAAAAATTCAATCCGCTTCTTTTCGGGAGAAGTAACAGACGAGAAAGCAAGCTTTCAAATTGGTTCTGTCATTTCTGGAATATGGAAAGGACATGCACATAGACTTAATAAACTTAATAAACAATAACACTAGAGCAGATTAATAAAGCAACAGCTTTTCACTTCCGACGTTCGCGTTGAAAGCTGGCTCAAGTTCTTGAATAACTGAAGGACTCTTGCTGAAAAACGTTTGCTCAAAGATTTTACATGTGGCGACCGGTAGTAGAGACTGACGGTTCTGCAATCTGAGTGAGGGTCATTTAATTGGAGGGAAGTGAAGAGTTGTTGTCAGTCAAGTGTTATACCTGTAATTTCGGGTCGTGGAATCTCTGAATGGTCAGCTACGCTGTGATTTGATTAGCTAAAGCACTGATGTGCGTTAGTCATGCTTGGTCTGTTTCGATCCGCCGGAAATGTTAGGTAGTTCTGTTCGGTTTGTTTGTGGTCTAAATGTCGTGATAAAAATCAACTTGTCTTTTGAATGATTCGACCAAGATTCTCTTGCTAAGATTTCGGTTCCTGTAGGTGTTGGCTCTTATCATAGCGAAAAGAATTTGCAGCGTGTTCTGTTGCCGTCGAGATATCTTTTCAAAACGTCCTTGAGTGAGCCACATCATACTTACCACTTATCCTTCCTTTGACGAACTTGGATGACTGAGTTCTTCTACTTAACGAGGGCAAAAATTGAGGTAAAAGGGTGTTGGAAAGATCAAGGTGTCAATAATTTTTCGTCGATTTTAGGTTCCTACTATATAATAGTACGTAGTATGAGACCTTCGCCATTGGGGATAACAACACAACAACAACAGCAACAACAACTTGTACTTTATATTAATTGACATGATACAAAAACAAATTGTCAGTGTGCGTCAATGCTGGGTTGATTCCATTGCAACATTTTGCAGTGCCCTAATTCCATGATGGTAGGCATGAGGGACAAAATTCTGATTGGTGAAAGCATACCCTAACGCTGGGATCTGATAAATGCGAGATTCATGCCCTCATGTGGTGATCTACTTGGCACGAAATACATACCCTAATGGGGCGATCAGATTGGTGCGAACAACATACGATACGCTAACATATAGCTTTTTTTTTTTAAAGAAACAAGAGAAACAACTCAAAATTTATGAAAAGCTGAGTTAAGAAATGATACTCGCCACAAATTTACTTAGTTTTCTTTAGAACAACCTCTCTTTAGGCTCTTCTATTTTTGTAACTTCTCCCCTTTCTTTTTCCTGGTATCGATCTCTGATGCCATTCAAACATTTTTTCCATTCTCCAGCCTCGTTTATCTCGATGAATTGCTGTATCACTTCCACTATAACTAAAGAAAAGCTAACAATTTAATTTCGTTTCTGGTTACAGCCTGTTTTGGAATGTTTTGGAAGCATATAGGAAATAAGAGGAGCCTATATTCTAAAAGATGAAAGGGTAGTTTTAATTACATTAAAATTGAAACAACCGTTTACATGTCCTTCCCTTGATATCGTAACATTTTGCATCTGCTCCTAGTTCTGATGCCGTTCGGTTTTTAAGAAATGCGAACAAAATATTGAGTCCTTACCGAGGACGGGTCTCTCTGAGACGGAAAGTGGAATGGCATCCATGGTTTTGAAGCTTTCAGGTGATAAATCACTCGTAATTTGAGAACCGATAAGTTGGTCAAGATTTTTGGGACTTCTTTTGGTGCAAATGGTTAAGAAGTTTGGAAATGACATCTATAACTTTGGCAAGAGCATATTGAGCTAAAATGGCCGGACAGATTTTAGAAAGTTAGAGCTACAGTGTGGAATTTGTTCGTTGAGGTCGTTACGTTCTTAGCGCACAGCTCTGATGGTGATTCTCGTAATGTAACGTGGAAAAGAATTTCGGGCGCAATGAATTTGATGACGGTATTAATTAGAATGAGAAAAGGAAGATAAATGAAAATTCGAGCGAAAACCCCTAGAATAACTTTGGAATAAAGAAAACGACCGATTAGCCTGTGTAAAGCCGCCCCTACGACCGATCAAATTGCTACAAAACCTAATTTTAGTGAATTCGAGAACGGCCAAAGTTACCTAGCTGCTCCGTTTCAATAAATTGTTCATCAAGGAACCTGACCTGTACGTGCACGAAAAATGATATCTATTGGGTAAAGTAACCATTAAACGAATTCTATGTATTTTATGAAGTTTTTGGCTTCAGTAGAGATGTCTCGAGGGTGCTAGTTAAAGAATCTTGTACCTTTTTCACTTGGTTTTCCTGCTGATCTTGTCTCCATTTACTTCGGTTTGTCATTCCCTTTCGTCCTCGTTGAGGTCGTTACGTTTTTGACGCACAGCTCTGATGTTGATTCTCCTAGTGTTACTTGAAAAAGATTTTGCGCGCAATAAATTTGATGGCGGTATTGATTAGGATGAGAAAAGAAAGATAAACGGAAATTCGTGCTAAAACCCATGGAATAATAACTTTGGAATAAAGGCAACGACCGATGAAATTGATGTTGCCTGAAAACATAGTTTAACGAAATTCGGAATGGCCAAACGGCTAAGAAGTTGTTTGATAATGTTTTGGTTATATGAATAGAAAAGTTGTGTATTACATGACGAAAAGAAAAAATGAAAATAACGAAAAACTCAAATTATGGCAAATGTTCTTTTCAAACATTTATTCTATTTAAGTATGATTATTTGGGGTGTACATGGTCAGGGTTTCCCTCGTATACCGAATATATCTATATCTATATATATATATATATCTATATCTATATCCAACCAAAATAGTGGAATGAGATCATCATCTACTAAAAAGTGCTCGATAGGAGGGCTAGAGCTGTGGATAATTGCAGTTGCCTGACGATTGCTTCGCAAGAGCCATGAAACTCAGAGTTGAAGTAAAAGTTCAAGTAGCCTAGATCTTGAAGTATGATTATATATATACGACACCACAAAGGTTGGGTCGTTTGGGGTGACCGTCTCGGTTCTTCTCCATCCTAGTATCAGCACTGCACTGATGAGGCCCAGAAGGCCGTAACATTACTAAACAGTACTGTCAGCAGTTATATATATATATATATGTATATATAAATATATATTTATATATACATATACATATATATACATCTTTTGATAGTTCTCTGCTGTTTGAATAGTTTCTGTTTCGAAAAGAAAGCAGCACGGAACAATCAAAGTATATCTGGACACTCAAAGACAGCAACACCAACTTCACAATTAACTGGAGTATTTTAGCGACCGCCCCGGCCTACAGCAACAAAAGCTAGCGCTGCCCCTTATGCCTCACAGATAAACTTTATCAAATTAGAGCTAAGAAACCGTCTTTATTAAACAAAAGAACAGAAATTATTTCTAAATGCAGCCATGAGAGTAAATTCTACTTACCAAATTTCACAAATTTCACAAGCCGCTAAAAAAAGTCTCAGAGAATATTTATTTCATCGCACCAGCGAATCAATGAACTACTAAATATAAGGAGGTATGTTCTTTATTGAATAAAATTCTGTCTAACGAGCGCTTCGGTGCGAAACTCAGAGTAACAGAGAATCGATGCGTCCTCTTTGATTCTTCAACTAATCTATACTCAGCTCTGCTAA